GCTTTGCTACGCTCAGGACGGCTAGACCGCAAGATTGAATTCCCAATGCCCAATGAAGAGGCCAGAGCCAGGATTATGCAGATCCATTCACGCAAAATGAATGTCAGGTATTAAACAGAAGGGGAATGTAATTTGGATGACGTTGGTGAACTATGAATTATGGAATCATTTTTATTCAGTGTATGCAACAATCAGTTACCTCAGAATATGCCATTAACTAAAAACTATTACACTTTTCCAGAATTTTAGCTATTTTGTGAAAAGCAAGTTTCTAATCTGTATGACTGTGAAGGTAGTACTAAAACATTACAGTAGTAAAATCTGAGATGTCACAACAAAGGTTGAATTTTAGTTTCAGAATTAGGTCAGATCTTTATTTCTTGTCCTTCCCTATTTCCCAAAAAAATGAGAATAAAGTAAGAGCAAATTGGTATGGTTTATGTGGATTATGTTCAACATTAAGTCATATCTTTTCCATTGAGATTTTTTTTGTTTTTAAAAATGAAATTATGTTCTCTGCAGTCCTGATGTGAATTACGAAGAGCTGGCGCGATGCACGGATGACTTCAATGGTGCACAGTGCAAGGCTGTGTGTGTGGAAGCGGTAAGTAGGTTTGGCCAGTTTCCATCGGAAGTCTGCTGACCTATGGAGACTTTGGACAACAAAAGAGTTATAGTTTCTTATGTCAACTATATTGCACTTTTGCTGAATGCTTTTTACTTCCTTGGGTCAGGGAATGATTGCCCTTCGGCACGGAGCAACAGAACTTACCCATGAAGATTACATGGAAGGAATTTTGGAGGTGCAGGCCAAGAAGAAAGCCAATTTGCAATATTATGCTTGATTTTTGCTCCTGAATGGGATATTAAAGCCTTGATACAAAAAGCTCAGTGTTGTAACTTTTGCAACTGAATTATATGAACTTCTTTCACTTATGAAAAAAATAAAATTAATAAGTGTTTCCTCTGACTGAGACTGCTATTATATTTGGTTGGAGATGGAGAACAAATATTAATTATTCAGGATATTCATGTATATGAAACATCTCTCATTAATCTCCTTAAACACCAACATATGTACAACCCTCTTGTTTTTGTGCTTGAATTTTTGGTACATTTTCACAATTTGTCTTTTTGTTAACAACAAGCATTTCAGTTCTTACCTATATGGATTCTGAAGACACCTATATAAAATTTCAACTAAAGGCAAAATCTGTAAACCATTTGATATGAAACTATATTTGTTTTTAACTCTGAGGTAAAACTTAGGTTGTTGTTTTTTTTATTTAAGTTGAAGGTGAGGAGCAACAAGGAGCCAAGGATTTCTGTAGGGATTGGGAATATCTCAATTTATAACACACACACACGATAACTGAAGTAGATATCATCTAGAACACAAGTGTCAAACTCACTGCGTCACATGATGTGTCGCGATGTATCGCAACCTTTTTTGCATTGCCAGAGCTGCAGTGGGCATGGCTTCCATATGATGCAACTGGCCCACAGGCCGGCAGTTTGACACCCCTGATCTAGAACAAGAGATGTATCTATTTCTGTCACCACAGACCAAACTTTTCTCCTGTGTTATTCCTGTTTGGCTGTGAAAAAACAAATTGATGCCTGAGCATCCTCATTGGTAAAGACCAGTGTGGAGAATTAATTGGAATTCTCTGCAGTTTCTTCAACCACATTTAGTACCCTTGTCCAAGACTCAAACCATTTTTGTAGCTAGTTTCCTGCTTTGAATATGAATACACACACATACATACACTTGCCAATTTTTAATGTCATTTGGTTTATTAATTTGGTATATACCCATTGATATCTTTCACTCATCTTTTATTTTGTTTGTGTGTTGTTAAAGGGTGTATTCTTCCCCTCCCCTCAGTTGCACTAGTTTTCTATTTGGACAAAAGTTTCCTTATTCACTGAAGAAAATTTCTTAACTCTAGTGTTCTCTCTGCTGTGATTTGATAACATCCTCTTAAATTTAATAGCACTTTCTCAGATTTGATCCACAATATACATTGTAATATATATTGCATTTTAAAAGTAATATTGTGGCATTTTGGAGACCCTCATCCTCTTGATTCTCCCTTTTTCTTGAACAAATGATCTCATTTTCTTTAGAAAGATTTTTTTAAATCACTTTTATTGTAGCTTTGTGAGTGCCCTTTCCTATCAGTTCAATCACTTTTTGACAGGACCTTAGTACTCCCTAAGTCTCTATGGAGATTCTCAGTCGTCCAGGTCATGGTTCCCTCAAAGGTACTTTTCAAAAGGCAACTGGACTTTCTTGGTTTTTTCCCTTAAAAACAAACTGGAGAAGTGAAACGTTTTCAAGGGAAAAAACCAAGAAAATCCAGTTGCCTTTTGAAAATATTATCTAAGTCTACAATCATTCCTTTTATGGTTAACCCATAAATTGTCTTTAAGGATATAAAACATGTTTTTGTGATGTGAAACATCTGTTTTTATAGTAGGGTGATTAACAATAGCACTTAGACTTATGTATCACCTCATAGTGCTTTGTGGCCCTCTCTAAGTGGTTTAGAGTCAGCATATTGCCCTCAATAATCTGGGTCTTCATTTTACTGACCTCGGAAGGATAGAAGCTGAGTCAACCTTGAGCCGGTCAAGATCAAACTGCTGGCAGTTAACAGAGTTAGCCTGCAATATGCATTCTAACCACTGTGCCACCACAGTTCTCTTAGATCAGGGGTCTTCAAACTTGGTCCTTTTATGACTTGTGGACTTCAACTTCCAGAATTCCTCAGCCAGCATGCCTGGCTGAGGAATTCTGGGAGTTGAAGTCCACAAGAGGGCCAAGTTTGAAGACCCCTATCTTAGATTAAGGTCTTCTTTTATAGGTGCCTGTTGAATTTCATTGCCTATCTGAACATCACTCCATTAGAAAACGCATTAATAAGTTCTTAGAATTTACATGAAAGCTGGGACATGACCACTGAATTAAAGACAAGGATAGAGAAAGCTCGAACAGCATTCTTCAAAATGAAAAAGGTCTTCTGCAGTCACGACATAAGCCTAAAACTGAAAATCAGGCTTGTCAGATACTATATTTTTTCTATCCTGCTGTATGGAGTAGAGAGTTGGTCTCTGACAGAAGGCCACCTGAAGAGACTAGAAGCATTTGAAAGGTGGATTTACAGGCGGCTGTTACATATAAGCTGGGTTGGCAAGATCAGAAATGAAGAGGTGATAAGCCGCCTGGGAAAGCCAAGAGAAATCATCAAAACAATTAAAAAACGAAAATTAGAATATTTCGGACATGTGATGCGTCACCCAGAAAAATACAGCATACTCCATTTAATCCTCCAGGGAAAGATTGAAGGCAAATGAGGTCCAGGCAGAAGAAGAATATCATGGCTTCAAAATCTAAGGGACTGGTTTGGACAAAGCTCAGCAGCACCTTTTCGTGCAGCTGCTGATAAAAACAGGATCGCCAACATGATCACCAGCGTCCGATAACGGATATGGCACAAGAAGAAGAAGAAGTTCTTAGAGTTAAATTTGTTTGTGGGCCTCTTGCATATAACAAGTCTATAAGTTGCTGATTTGTTGGAATATATGCTATTATTAATAAGTAGGCTGACAGTTTCCCACTAAATAGCCTCCAATGTATTACAGTAAATCATTTATCAATTCCTGCTTCCCTTCTGTTCATTTGTTAGGTTGGCTACATGTGTAATTGGTAGACAACAGTTTGCTTACCTAGTCAGTTAAATTATATAAAATAGTAAGGGGGAGGAAAAGTCAACAGCTCCTTATTTTGCTGCCAAATTGGTCCTGATTCCAAATGCCTGTTTACTTTGTGATTTGGTTCCCAGGACTGATATTTTTCATCAGATGGTGCTTCCTTATTCCTGTAGAGATACTAAATATGATGTAACAGGGTTTCTTTTGCAGCTATAACACGTAGAAGAAATCTAAAGCCAGAGAATTTCTCTCCTTTTAACGTAACCAAGCCTTTTAATTTAATGCCTCTTGAAATGTACAACTTCCATTTAAAAATCACACTTGCCATGAATACATTAACTTTAGCACTGAGTAATTAATTACATGCCACTTCAAAATACAATGTAAACAGCCCTTCAACAAAGGGTTCTGTGCAGTCTTTGGGGGAGACGGTAAAGAAGTACAATGAGGAAAGACCAGGGCTTCCCTTCAGCACCATTGTTGATGTTCCTGAGTTAGGCTCAGCTTCTTATTAATCATCTGTATACTGTGGACCCCTCTTATGACTTATGCCTCTTTATGTGTTAAAAGAGAATGTCAGATTTTTAGGGTCTGTGCTCCTTTTCCAAAACAAAGTTTCTTCTGTATTCTGGAAGGATTGAAAGTGGACCAGAAATCTCAGGTTGCCTTTTAGAGAAGCTACATGATTTGAAGAGCAGGCGTGTCTCCCTTGCTCACTTCGCCTGCGATTTTTTTTTTTCTCCTTGCAAATGAACATAGGACTCCTACTGAATCAGCACGATGTGTTGCAAGGGAGCAAAGAACCACATCAGATTTGTGCAACCCTGAACTGGTCAGTTTGGGTGATTACATCATTGCAACTTGCCCCCTTGTGGAAATATTCTTCAAGCATCTGAAATCTAATAATGCACTTTACTCCAAAAGTACTTAGTGCATAATTGACTTCCAGAGCTAACAAGATACAGATAGTGAACAGCCTGGACTGAAAATATTTCCCTCTCTGAATGTTTAAAGCCTTCATCTAAACCAAGGTTTGCTGCAAGGTAATGGGCCAATTCCAGCATTGGGTCTCTGCTCAAAAGAGAATCAATTCTGAGACTGGGTGGATTTTTCGTTGGCTTTCCCTTCTAATTGACCTTCCAGTTCTTGGAAATAAAACTCCTTGGCATCAAACAGAATTCACATTGGCTTCTGCTCCTAAGAAAAAGCTGATGCCGTTTAAACGATCAACAGGTCTTATAGCACCACAAGCCTATTTAACAGAAAACTGCCTCTTAGAAAAAAACAGGAATAAGAATTAACCCAGACGGTTGATGTGAATCAGAAACAGGCAGACAGAAGAATCACGGGCTGGCATTCCTCCACGACTTTGCCAGAGCAATAGAACCCCTTAGTTCCAATCTGGTTTGCAGATCTCAAATGTCCACACTGTGTTCTGGTAACGGGCGGTGGGCTAATAAGACTCTCTGGTATTCACATCACACAGCTCCATTTTCCTGTCTGGGTTTCTGTACAACAGTCCGAGGGGTATTGAGAGAGGGAGCGAGGGTGCATAAGAATCCGGCCAGCAGCGTCAGTCCCAGGCCGCCCCAAGCGCAGAACATGGACCAGCCATAGCCATGGCTGATGTCTTCTGGTAATCCGTAAACGTACCGAGGGTAGCGAGACAGCTCAAAATTTATCCCTGCCACGCACGTGCAAAGGGAAATGATGCAGCATGTCCCTGAAAAGGAGGAGAAGAGAGAGAGAGAAAACCCAAGAGCAATGTGTAATGTCTTTCCTGCCAAAGGCAGAATCAGGGATGTGAAGCTGCCAGTTTTTATCTTTGTCAGCAGCACACAAAAATACAGAAATGAAATAACTTTCTTGTACAGGCAGGTTCCTGATTTTTCCTCAGGCTCATTACTCTTTGATTCCTGTCTCTTCCTTGGCATGCAGCTGTCTTGACTGACTGGGTGTTTTTACTGCTGTTTTGGATTCTTTGATCTTTACATTTTGAATACTTATCTGCAAGGAGAGCCACAGGGTATAGTCCCAAAAGTCAAAATGGCTGTGATGGCAAAGTGGAATCTCGCCCATTTTTTGTGTGTGCTGCACATGCAGTGGACATATAAATAAAAGGTGGAGCCTCAGTCATACTATTGTGGCCACCATTGACTTTTGGGGCCATATTCTGTAGACACCCTGCTTGTCTGAACTCTTCTATCAACTGTCGTCAGACTGCGTGTTGATCTGGCCACACAAAAACTGCACCACAATACACTCAGTAAAAGCACTGTAATATTCAGATTTTAGAGAATGGTTCTGGGGATTACCATAAAACTTTCAAGGAAAAAGACTGAGCATATGATAGAACTGCACTGCTTCTATACAACCCTATAAATAGCAATATCATAAAAAGCCACTAACCTCTGTATCATCTAACAATCCAAATGCTAGTAATAGAGAAGGGAAACACACAGTCTTTGTGGTGTTACTCTCTTATCTTGGTAAATAGTCATCACTCCTACATCTCAGTAGTTAGTAGTAGTATTTGTTGACATCAATCCTGTGTAATTTTGGTCAGCTAAAACACCATTGTTTTTTTTAAAAAAAATATTCATATGCTTTGATGTTGTAAAATTCAAAATGTACCTTATGCATAAATATGCATTTGCTCTAATATTAAAATTTACAGAAATAGGAGTCTTTAGTTACTGCTTTGACCCATGCAATTTTTTCCAAATGCATGTGATCTGAAATGCATGTGATCTGTTTCTAATTTTGTTATAAACCAGTCGACACAGACTAATCATCTGGTGCTTTAATCATTTTGTTTGTAATTATCTTTCAGGTAAGTAAATACAACAGTGGCCAAGCATTGCTTCGTTTTTTCTATTAAGAGGTTTAACCATTCAATCCTATCAATATGAAAATGGTAGGTAAGTAGGTAGGTAGGTAGGTAGGTAGGAAGGAAGGAAGGAAGGAAGGAAGGAAGGAAGGAAGGAAGTTTAGTTTGTTTGTTCTCTTTCTTTTGAGCTATCAATTCTTTAATTGCCCCCCTATAGCTGTCCTTTTTAATAATCATCAGATTGTTCTGTTTGTATTAAAGTAGTGGGTTAATTCCTAAACCAGTGACTATTGATAGGTGTAAAAGTGTGATTGTGTTTTTTTATTAGTTTGTATTTTTAGTTTATGGTTGCATTTAAAAAAAACATTGTTTTGTCCATCATTTTTAAATAAATTAAATTGGGAAAAATAAGATTATATTTAAAAAAGCAACCCTCAGACTGTCAGCAATGAACAAAGCACAGAATCTTTTTCTAAATTTGAAGTTTGAGAGAGGCAATAAGAGGAGACTTTTTAATCAGTACTTTAAAAAGATAGTCCTCCTTCTGGCTAAAATTTATCTTGATACAAGGGAAAGATTATTCATGTATTAATTCCTGCCTCTAACTACAGCTTATGGCACAGCCACAGGGGAGCGTTGAAAAGCTAACAACCCTAGAAAGGGAGGCAGGAAACAAATTATATCACAGAGGCAAGCTGTTCAGTCGATGCAAAAAATTTACAGCTATGGTTTCAATGAAATGTGGCCTTCCAACACTGGCCTCTAGACTGCCATAGAAAACCCTGAGGCCTTTACTTCTTCCTGCAAACCATGCTACTAGAGCTCTGAAAGATTGCTTTAGAGGCGGACAACGTGGGGGCTCCGTTAATTCTGCACGGCAACTCCTAGCATCCATCAAACTAGCTACGTTAGCAAGGGCTAGTGAAAATCAGGGATCGGTAGTATCTGCAGAGTTAAACAATGCCCATGTAAGGAGAGGAAAATCTTGTATCTAGCAAAGAAACCGCAGCATACTCTCTTCATACTCGCGAATTAACATTGCGCGAGTTTTCTACATATTTAACCGGTATGGAAAGTTTAGGTTACAGCCTAATAGGTGAACACTATTATTTTGTTCATTCCTATGAAAATTCTCCAAACATTTTAAAGCCGAGTTGGTCAAAAAGTATTTGAGTTGATACAAGTACCACAGGGTGGCCAAGGGTTGGTCATGACTGACGATGGTACAAATAATGGCATTCTCGCTTCCGTGTTCTTTTCGTCTAGGCACTCAATTCCTCTGTTAAAGCATGGATTTATTGCATATAATGCATAATACAAAAGCCAGGATTATATCCGAAAATATTTTGAACAATAATAGTATTTTTAAAAAAATTACCTCCCATAAGGAAGAGCAGTCCAGCTACATATTGCATGAGCTCATGTTGTTGACAGCAACCCAGCATGCCAATGATCCATCCAAAGAGGATTATGGACACCGCCATACCGATGAAGCCAGCTGTCATTCTCCGCAGGTCTGAGAGGAGGCATTGTTGGTGCATGGAAAAAAGAAGAAGGAGAACAATAGAGGAAGAAAACCCACAGAGAGTCAGGTGGGCAACTTTAGGGCAATCTTTTTCAAAGCTGGCACCCTCTAGACCAGTGTTTCTCAACCTTGACAACTTTAAGATGTGTGGACTTCAACTCCCAGAATTCCCCAGCCAGCTACTAGCTGGGGAATTCTGGGAGTTGATGTCCACACATCTTAAAGTTGTCAAGGTTGAGAAACACTGCTCTAGACTGATGTGGGCTATGGTTTCTAGCTTGCAAGAGCCGATTAGCATTCTAAGTCTAACACAAATAGAAAAGATCGGTGTGGAAAAGGCTGGTTTACAGATCTGCAACACAGGTTCACATTAGGGCAGGATATTTGTGAATTTTGATAACTGTATAAAGCAATTAAGAAAGCAAGCCAAGCCAAGCCTTAGCACTTCCTAAAAGTAGATAAGGTCTCTTTCTTAACTGAATCATTATCTTGCAAAGAGGGAGGGATTAACTCTGTAAATCTGCCCCACTGAAAATATTATGTTGGTTAGTGTTGTTCTGTTTTCTGGGATCATCTATGACTCTGTGAATAGGCAATTTCCTTGAATGTTCAAGCAGTCAGGCTGTTCTGTAGTGCAGTGCCGTGCAATACAGAGCAACCAGGCTGTGAATATGGGATCATCTATGATTGGTCGCAGAAGACATTATGTTAGGATGTAATACTGCCATAGTCTCAGAGGACACTATGTTATGATGTAATGCTGCCACTGTCTCAGTCTGATTGTCTCTTGACAAGAGCTCATAAGGATTCAAGAAGGTAAACAGACCAGGCAAATGGGAGAGGAATAATGGGAGTGGCCTAGTAAATGATCGAGATTGTGGCAGTGAAGACAAGGGGGGCATTGCTAGCTAAGGTTTCTCCTATCTTATGCTCTCCAAGTATATTGGATTTCAACCTCCATGAAGGATTTTCATTTGCGCTGGAGAGCAACAGGTTGGAGTAATACTTTCCTCTGAATTAAGGTAGAAGATGATCCTTCCACTGAAATTAGAGTTCTAGTGATTTTCTGATCCTATCTCCATTGCTTCCTTGGCAAAAATATATAAACAAAATAGATTGCTTAGTCAGGATAGAACTTTACTTTTGGCCTTTTTCCTAATTTTTGAGAGGCAGGGGTTGCAACAAATAAAGTTGTGTCACACAATAGGATAGGATCAGAACACTGATTTCTTTCCTGGGGAGAAGGAGGATTTCCTTTTTCACCCACATGAGTCAAGGCTATTTCAGAGTTTACATAACACTTTTTACAGATTTGTGACCATAAAATACCAGGAAACCACTCAGGTGGTTTTAGGGCTTTAGGGCTGCCAAAATGTTTTGGCCGAGCTGCATGAAATCATGATTCAGCCTCAGGTTCCCTTCCTGGTATAAGGTATAAACTAACTCAAAATGATGATCCCAGAGAAATAAGCCCTTGAACATTGTATAATAAGCATTGTATGGGTATAGCTGGCTTGAAAGTCAGGAACACTTGAACAAAAACATACAAGATTCTTCCTGCATCTTTCAGTCCAGAATGAAATATGTGCCAGAATTTCCTCCAAATTGCTTTAACTCTTCAGAGCCTTCTGGGGAGAGATACCATGTTTCCCTGAAAATAAGACCCGGTCTTATTTTTTTTTTCCTGCAAAAGAAGTCTTCCCCCCCCCCACTGTCTCGTCTTGCGGTGGCAGCACCAACAGCCCTGTCCACCAGGAGTCCGCAAGGCCACCGCCAGCCCACTTCTTCTGTGGCTGGTTGGTGCCACTTGCGAGAATGCCTTGCCCCCGGCCTCCGTTTCACTGGCAGAGGCCTTTCCTGAAGTCCTCTGCCAGTGAAAGGGAGCCTGGGGGGCAACACATGTGTCAACCTGGAGCTCTGTTCTGGGCTGCAGAGGCCTTTCCTGAAGGCCTCTGCCAGCAAAATGGAGGCCATGAGCGACACGCGCGAGCAGTGGCGAGCAGCTGCAGAAGAAGTGGGCCAGCAGTGGCCACACAGGCTCCTGCTGGATGGGGCTGCTGCTGGTGGTGCTGCCACCGCAAGGCAAGGCAAGTGTTGGGACAGGGGAGGCCTGGCTGTGGGGGCCCTGAGGTATGTGGGTGTGGGGCATGTGGGGCCAGCCCCCCACCCTCATCCTAGCTTTTTGCCCCAGAGTGGACGGGGTCTTAACTAGGGCTTATTTTGGGAGTAGGGCTTATATTAGGCACACACGTAAAATCAAGCTAGGTCTTATTTTCGAGATAGGTCTTATTTTCAGGGAAACAGTAACTGCAGAACAGGTAGATTCGCTCGATCTAGATAAGCAATTGTTGCTGATGCTCTTTTCTCTGCTTCCATTAGATGATTAAGAACTTTAATTCCCTACAACCATCTTTTTGAGGTTTTGCTTTCTGGTCGTTTTAGATGTAAACATGTACATTTTCGGCCAGCAAAGAGTACCATATATTTATTTCAGCCCTCTTCGACTGAATAATTGGAAATTCTGGGGAAAAAATCTGGAAAGAAAGATGGTAAATGGCTGATTTACTTCCTTGCTTCTGAAAGAATCCAAACTATTCCCCTGCAACAACTTGTTCCACTTATATTCACCTACTTCTTGCTGAGGTATTCAAATGTTAAATATGTAAACAATCCAGCAGACCATCCTTGAGCAAACATGGAATATGCTTGTTTTTGACACATATATTAGCTTTGGGCACATATGGAAAACTAATACATCTAGTACAAGAATATATCTCTCATTGAGGTGCTAATGTTCATGTCTATCATTCTCTACAGAAACAAAGCATGCAAATACACAGAGAGAGAAAGAGGGAGGGAGGGACGGACGGAGGGAGAGAGAGATAGAGTGAGATTCAGAGACAGAGAAAGACAGAGACAGAGACAGAGAGAGGGAGCAGAAAGTTCTAAGTGAGACTTGAAGATGATTCCCCCAAATAGCCATTTGGTTCTGATAATGCACATACAAGGATGTGCTTGGGACACTTACGAAGAGCATGCCATTCATCCTGGCGGATGGTATTGGTAACATTAATAGGCAAGTTGCGTGGTAGGGAAGATGATGTGTAGTGATATTTCACAGCTGTGCATCGTTGAATGACTCCTGCAAAGACAAATTCAGTGTGCAGTTGGGGATTCTGAACAATGACATTTGTAACACTGCTTTCCCTTTACTGTCCATAAATCAGATTAAACTTCTTTTGTAGCCGGGAAACTGAATTAAGAGATTAATGATTAGATTCACCCCCATGCTAAACCGCTATTTGTTTTAATTTTAGTTTTAATTTTAGGGGGAGTTTTTTGCAATTTTTTTTAGTTTATTGAAAAAAGATTAAAATACAAAATACCAAAATATTTAAAACCACAACAGAAAGGATATTAACAAAAAAATATCTTAAAAAAACACATATACACATAGCATCTTCCTTTGCTGAATGCTGATTGGTATCATATAAGAATTTTGGTTTCCCACTCCTTGCGAAACAGGCCAAAAGTATTTTAAACTGTTAAACTATTAAATCTACTTACAAATTGTTAGCCTGTCATTGATAAACTATATTAATAACCAAGTAGTTAACAGAAAGAATAATAATGAACGTATTGTGTAAGAACATGAAAATAATAAAAATTGTGAACAGTAATAGGAGAAAGACAAAGTTGAAATTCCAAAACCCTCTGTTAACAAGCTGTTATTGTAATCAACTTGTAGAAAATTTACCAACACTTCAATCCCTGATCATCCCAAATATTAACCTTAATTGGTTCTGGATCAAATATCCAAGGCTGTTTCTTTATACTATTTCTTATCAATTGCTGATTAATTGAATACAATAGGTCCAGTCCCCAAAGCCAATTTATCTTCCTCAAAAATTCCAGATAAAATCATTCCTCAATTAGATGTATTAAATCCATTTGTCACTCTCCATCAAACCTTTAACGAAAAACCATTTGTCAACCCAGAGAGTTCTTTGCTATTATATAAAAGTACAGTGTTACGCTTCCGGGAGGTGTATGGAGTTGGCGCTATAATTTCTTCTTGATGCCCAGGCTCTATAATTTCTGAGTCTATATTTCTTCCTGGACAGTTTATAACTGGGAAATCACATTTCTTCTTCTCAACGTTTTCCATCTGTGTTATTTCCATATCTGTATTTCTTCCCAACGAATCTGCTGTTTTAAAAACAAATTCTTCTTATAGGCTTAAAAAATGTGATGTCTGTTTTTTAAAAAATGTTTTGCGCAAAGTTTATAAATTCATTAAACTCATTTGAAAAAAGTCAGCCAAGGATTGCATCCCTGTTAGCCAGAGTCTGTTTTCCCCCTTGGGTGTCAGCCTCCTCCTCCTCCTCTCTGCAATCTGATCTGTTGTTGGCTCAAAGCAGGGAGAGAGCAGGGAGGGAGCGAAAAAAGACAGGGAAAATATTTCCTGGCCATTTGATCCAAAATGTTTTTGCAAGTTAATAAAGTACAAACCCAAAGTCCCCTGCGTGTCCATATGGAAGGCAGAAATGAATGGGAACAGTCAAATAAATCGAAGAAGTAAAACAAAAAAAGGAAAACAGAAAGAATCCAGCAGGGGTCGAAACCAATCAGCATTGAACCAGTCAATTAACATTTTAAAAATAAAAAGCAAAAAGTTCAGAAAGTGAAAGTTAAAAGTCCTGGCTTGATTACAAATACATTTGCTGGTCGGAAGAGGTGTAAAAAAAGGCCCTTGACTTTTCAGCTACTCCCTCACAAGGAATTGCAATCTTCAAGATTCCCCTTCCTAGGTGGGTCTGCAGCTGTCCAAAAGTCGTCTACATGCCCCCATCAAATCCAGGGGGCAAGGCTGCCCAAAAACCTAGTTCTGGCAGCAAACATGACAGATCGTGGGTAAGAGGAAGAAAACTTTCACCCTACAGCAGCCATTAGGGGAGGAATCAAGCTAATTTTAATTTCTTAAATAAGCCATAATATCCTATTTCATTAGTTATAATCAAGCCGCAGTGGTTCAGAGGTTTGTGATACTATACAGAACAAACAACCCCATTTTTTATGCTACTGTACAGGTCATGCTCGTTTTATGACCACAGTTGGAGTTTCTGTTACATACTAAGGGAGTTGTTAAATGAATTGTGACCTTTTTGCCCTGCTTATTAAGTGAATCACTGCAGTTGTTAAGTGAATCATGCTAATGTTAAGCAAATCTGGCTTCACCCGTTCAATTTGCTTGTAAGAAGCTGGCTGGGAAGGTCACAAATGGCAATCCTATGACCCCAGGATGCTGCAACCATCCTAAATACCATGCCAGCTGCCAGCTGCCTGAATTTTGACCAATTGATCATGGGAATGCTACAACGGTCGTAAGTGTAGATGTAAGGATGGATTGTAAGTCACTTTTTTTCAATGCTGTTGTAACTTGGAACTGTCCCTAAATGAAAGATTGAAAGTTGAGGGCTACCTGTATACTAAGTTGATGTTGCTATTGTGCTGTTATCTCCCATAATGTGTTTTATGATGATTATGATCATGATTTATCACTTGTTGCTTGTATGTACACTGAGAACTTATGCATCGGAGGCAAAGTCCTTCTGTCTAATCACACCTGGCTATCTATTCTATTCTATTCTATTCTATTCTATTCTATTCTATTCTATTCTATTCTATTCTATTCTATTCTATTCTGGAACTACTGATATGCAGTGGGCTAGGTTGTCAGTTGTGAATACATTGAGAGCAAAAATGATGTCTGCTTTAGAAGAAAAGAGCAGAATTCAAGAAGCTTTTGAATTAATATTGTGATTTCACTCTTGGGCACTTTTGAATGGAACTGTATTGTATACTATGTGACTCACAAAGGTCTTCTATTAAATCTGCCCACAAGTGGCCTTTTATAAGTTATTTTGCACTAGATAATCATTAGGAAGCCAAACCACAGAATTGGCAATGCGTGACTCTATTGTTAATCGTGTAATTTCAGTACATTACACAATCCAGCTTTCCTCTTAGCACAAATTTTACTGACTTTGGCAAGTCAAAGAGGATTCAGGCATCTAAAATTCTGGCATGAATTAATTCCTTATATTTGTCTTCCCAGCATTGTTTCTGATTAATTTGTCATCACTTGTTTCAGTTACAATAAAACTCAGAACCAGAAATAATCTGACTCCTAGTTTGGCCCTAGAACGATGGCCCCCAACACTCTTGCCTTGTTCCAAAGTATGATTCTAACTTATTTGAGTCATGAGATGTCCAATCTAATGTAGTCTTTGCAAACTTAGAAAAATATCTGCTTAATGAACATTAGGCAAGCGGTATTGCTTTTTCTCAGTTGTAAGAGAACAATGAAAATCAGTAAAAGGCATAATTGCATTGCTTCTTTGTTTAAAGGTATAAAAATTCATCTTTGCTGGCTTTTTACAAAGGGAAATTATGACAGAAAATGGATGTTTCAGATGTGAATAAGTGGCCTTTCCAAATATGATTAAATTTTGGATGTGGTGGTGGCGATGGTGATGATAATGCATTTTTATTAAACTAGATAATTCATGATTTGTTAAATTGTTTCAGAGGTATTTCTTCACTAGATTCTTCAGTGCTTTTAACAATGGCAGAACTTCTAAAGTACTGTAAAAGTTCTGCAAAATTCAGGGAGCTATGAAGAGATGCATCTGCCCTGAAAGTAGCCCAGGACAAAGTGTATAGCACAGTCAAACATCAACAGTTGACCACAGGAAATGTTTTATGAAATTTTGTATCATGTCATAAAATGCTTAATGGTAATTTTTTATGTCATAAAAATTGCCAAATTTCAATTCCATTGGGACCATGGGTCTCAGATTTTGGATCCATTCTGTAAGTTAACCCACTTACGTTGCCTTTGCTGAAAAAGTTCTGCCCTGTGATGCAGCACTTCTGCCAATTAAAGGTTATAGACGCAAGAGTTTTAGTAGTATATAGATATACTTCAGCATCAGAATGATAGTAAGACCTTTCTATGCACATGTAATGCAGCCCCATCACATAGCCATAAGCCTCAATCTCATCAGGCTGAAATCCAATCAGAATTTTAGAGTTAGAAAAGGCCTTTGTGCTATTGAGTTTTTCAGTGCAGGGATTCAAATTAAAGCATCCAGGATTGGTAGCTGCCCAGATTCTGCTTGTAAAAAGAAAATGACATGTTCTCAGTTTTTGAAATAATAATAATAATAATAATAATAATAATAATAATAATAATAATAATAATAATAATAATAGTAGTAGTAGTAGTAGTAGTAGTAGTAGTAGTAGTAAAAGTTGGAAGGGACCTTGGAGGTCATCTAGTCCAACCCTCTGCTCAGGCAGGAAACCCTATGCCATTTCGGACAAATGGCTATCCAGTTTCTTCTTAAAAACTTCCAATGTTGGAGCATTCACCGCTTCTGGAGGCAGGTTGTTCCACTGGTTAATTGTTCTAACTGTCAGGAAGTTTCTCCTTAGTTCTAGGTTGCTTCTCTCTTTGGTTAGTTTCCACCCGTTGCTTCTTGTCCTGCCTTCAGGCGCTTTGGAAAATAGGTTGACTCCCTCTTCTTTGTGGCAGCCCCTGAGATATTGGAACACTGCTATCATGTCCCCCCTCGTCCTTCTCTTCGTTAAACTAGACATACCCAATTCCAGCAACTGTTCCTTATATGTTTTAGCCTCCAGTCCCCTAATCATCTTTGTTGCTCTTCTCTGTACTCTTTCTAGAGTCTCAGCATCTTTTTTACATCGTGGTGACCAAAACTGGATGCAGTATTCAAAGTGTCATCCAGTTGTTTACATTAGGGTCCTTCCTACCATGTTTCTCCTTCCTTTTTTGGTTATTTTCTTGTAACTTAAAGAAGACCCCCTACATAGTTTGTTGAAGACTGTCTACTGATATTTGATTTCTTTTAAAATGCCACTTCAGCAGCAGAGATCCGGGTCATTCCGGATCTCCCCTCCTTCCGCCGCGCCCTCAAGACATGGCTATTCCAACTAGCGGGGCTGGCCTGAGGGGTATTTTAGATTGATTTTAATTTGATTTTATATTGGGTGTTTATAACATTTTAAATGAAACGGCAAAATTAATATTTTCTTTTAATAGTATTTTTAAATGGTGTTTTGTAAGGTCTTTATCTGTTTTTAGCTTGCTGTAAGCCGCCCTGGGTCCGCCAGGAGAAGGGCAGGGTATAAATCTAATAAAATGAAAATAAAATGCCAAAGTGGCGTCACAGGCGTGTACTGACATCATCATACAAAGGCCACTTGCATTTTTGCATCTTGCCACTTGACTCATGGATTTCAGTCACAGCATTTGGGTGATAAATAGAACAATAACTTTAGAATAGTTGTTCTATAACTTTAGATGTCATGCCCTTCCTTTATCTCCTTCATCGGCCTAAGGGTGCCCATCTGCTATTTAACCGATGTCTATAACTTCTTCATTTTAGTTATCTTTCTGAAACTTCTTTGCAGTTCTCCTAGTCTGAATTTCAACCGGTAGCTAAACATGACATGGTGCTTGTGTATTATAGAGAGATTAGCCTGGTTCCTGCTATTGTTAGGTACAATGTTATAATTTGTTCCTTCCCCATCTGTGCAGAAAGAAGTAATAATTCTTTTGACAGCCTGTCTCTCTATCTTTCAAATTACAAGTTCTGGATAAAAGCAGAAGCACATTCTGTGTTTTAAAGGAAAATAATTCTCTGCTCTGGTGCTCTTTTTGATTGACTTCAACAAAACAAGAGGATCCAGGACTTCAAAACATAAATATACTGTATATTTTTTCTTCTCTGCATTTTTGGTCCTGAATTGCGGAGTCGTTCTTTACTGAGTTTTTCAAGTGTCTTCAGTGCTTCTGGTACAGAGATGTAATGGAGTAATTTGCCCTCAGATGTGACACATTCAGGACATCATCTTGTTCTGAGGACACTTTTTCCCTTAAAATCACCTGAAGGGAGGACAAGAAGCAACGGATGGAAACTAATCAAGGAGAGAAGCAACCTAGAACTAAGGAGAAATTTTCTGATAGAACAATTAACCAGTGGAACAACTTGCCTCCAGAAGCTGTGGCTGCTCCAACACTGGAAGTTTTTAAAAAGAGACTGGACAGCCATTTGTCTGAAATGGTATAGGGTTTGCTGCCTGAGCAGAGAGTTG